ACCACATCCAGACAGACGTTGTCATAAACTGTCATATCTCCCATTTATTCTCCTAAGGGCAAATTTATATTTCCAAAAAGTCATTTGCTTTTCCATAAGTTCCCTTTCTTCCCTTTCCTTTCCTCTATTAAGTTAGGTATATAGACCCCAAACTCTAGCCACTCCTTTGAGTTACTCATCTCTGAGTGCTCCCATGTGTATGTGTGATGCACAGCTAACAAACTCTGTTTTTTGGGCCTGCCCGGTGGCACAAGCGGTTAAGAGCGCACCCTCCACTGCGGCAGCCCGGGGTTCACAGGTTCGGATCCTGGGCGCGCACCGACGCACTGCTTGTCAAGCCATGCTGTGGTGGTGTCCCATATAGAGTGGAGGAAGATGGGCATGGATGTTAGCCCAGGGCCAGTCTTCCTCAGCTAAAAAAGAGGAGGATTGGCAGATGTTAGCACAGGGCTGATCTCCTCAAAAAAGAAAAAAAAAAAAAACCTCTGTTTTTCTCTTGCTAATCTGTCTTTTGTCAGTCCAATTTACAGGGACCCAGCCGGAGAACCTAGGAGGGTAGAATGAAAAATATTTTTTCCTCCTAGACATAGGCACTGAGGATGCAGCAGAGAATCAAACAGAAAAGGTCTCTACTTTGTAAGAAACACCTAGACCTTTGAATTTACGCTTTGTCTTCCAACTTTGGAAGAAACATTTGTCCAGAGAAATAGTTCTCAACTGTATGAACATCAGTACAGGCCAGACACATGGCATTTGAGCCAGTATAGAAAGACAACATGTGGTGGGATGAGCTGTGGCGAACTAGAGAGCAGGTGCCCTGAGTACACAACAGCGGGTACTTAGATCTACCAGTTGTTTCCAAGCAGAAAAGTGGACCAAGGGCATCAGAACGTCAGCTCTTTCAATCCAGGTTTTTACGTGAAATCACCTTATGGTCTGTTTGTTTGTTGTTGCTGTTTTGCTTTAAAAATTTATTTTTCACAATACCCTATGTCCTATATTACAAATTATTTCTTATATGCCAAACCATACATATTATTTAATCACTGTGCTTTTTTTTGGAGTTAAGATATCTAAACCCTGGAAATATTCTTAATCTGGATTAGGTCAGATCCCAGACAGAATGAATAAACAATGTTCTGCTATATTTTTAGCAATGTGTCCAAAGATTTATCCCATAAAGAAACTTAGCAAACTAAGAGTAAAAGGAAACTTCCTTTACTTAGTAGAGATTATATATTAAAAAAACTTCAGAAAATATATTAATGGAAAAACTTTAGACATATCCCCTTTAAGTTCAGGAACGAGAAAAAGACAATCTCTAACACTGATGCTATTTTTTTTCAATTATTAGAAGATATTTATTTTTGATTTTCCTCCAATATTTGGAAGAAAGATCATGATTATTTTGCTGTTCTTGCCTCATCTTTATATCATGATAGTAGCTAGACAGTATCATGTTAGGTATTGTACAAGATGTCCTTTTTGGAAATCACTTGGAAAAAACTATGCTGTGGCCTTTGATATACTATTCTTTTTTTTTTTCTTGTGGTAAAATAATATATATCATAAAATTCACCATTTTGTGTTGGGAAAACTGGACAGCCACACGCAAAAGAATGAAGGTAGACCATTATCTTCTACCATACACAAAAATTAACTCAAAATGGATTAAAGGCTTGAAGGTAAGACATGAAACCGTAAAACTCCTAGAAGAAAACATAGGCAGTACACTCTTTGACATCGGTCTTAGAAGGATCTTTTCGAATGCCATATCTACTCGGGCAAGGGAAACAAAAGAAAAAATAAACAAATGAGACTAAGAGCTTCTGCAAGGAAAAGGAAACTATGAATAAAATGAAAAGACAACCCACCAACTGAGAGAAAACATTTGCAAATCATATATCTGACAAGGGGTTAATCTCCAAAATATATAAAGAACTCATACAACTCAACAACAACAAAATAAACAACCCAATCAAAAAATGGGCAGAGGATATGAACAGACATTTTTCCAACGAAGACACAGAGGATGCCCAACAGGCACATGAAAAGATGTTCAACATCACTAATCATTAGGGAAATGCAAACCAAAACTACAATGAGATATCACCTTACACCTATTAGAATGGCTATAATTACCAGGACAAAAAACAACAAATGTTGGAGATGATGTGGAGAAAAGGCAACACTCATACACTATTGGTGGGAATGCAAACTAGTGCAGCCACTATGGAAAACAGTATGGGGAGTTCTCAAAAAATTAGAAATCAAAATACCATATGACCCAGCTATTTCACTACTGGGTATCCCAAGAACTTGAAATCAACAATTTGAAGAGACTTATGCACCCCTATGTTAATTGCAGCATTATTCTCTATAGCCAAGAACTGGAAGCAATACAAGTGCCCATCAACTGATGAATGGATAAAGAAGATATGGTATACATATGTACAACAGAATACTACTCAGCCATAAAAAAGACAAAATCGTCCCATTTGCAACAACATGGATAGAACTTGAGGGTATTATGTTAAGTGAGATAAGCCAAACAGAGAAAGACAAACACCATATGATTTCACTCATATGTGGAAGATAAACAAATACATGGACAAAGAGAACAGATTAGTGGTTACCAGAGGGGAAGGAAGTTGGGGGGTGGCCATAAGGGGTAAAGGGGCACATATATATGGTGACTGACAAATAATAATGTACAACTGAAATTTCACAATGTTACAAACTGTTATGACACCAATAAAAAAAATTCACCATTTTAACCATTTTCAAGTGTACAGTTCAGTAGAATTAAGTACATTCACATTGTTGTACAACCATCACCACTATTCATCTCCAGAACTTTTTCACCATCCCATCCTGAAACTTCATACCCATTAAACAATAACTCCCCATTCTCCTCTCTTCCAAGCCCCCAGTAAGCACTATCCTACTTTCTGTCTCTATGATTCGGCTACTCTAGGTGCCTCATATAAGCGGAATCATACAATATTTGTCCTTTTGTATCTAGCTTAGTTCACTTAGAATAATGCCTCCAAGGTTCATCCATGTTGTAGCACATTCCTTTTTATGACTGAATAATGCTCCATCCTATGTATGTACCACTTTTTGTTTATCCATTAATCTATTGATGGATATTTGGGTTGCTTCTGCTTTTTGGCTATTGTTAATAACGCCAAAATGAACACTGGATTACAAGTATCTGTTTGTGTCCCTCCTTTCAATTCCCTTGAGTATAAACCTATGAGCAGAATTGCTGGATCATAAGGTAATTCTATGTTGCGCTTTTTAAGGAACCACTAAACTTTTTCATAGCAGCTGCACCATTTTACATTCCCACTAGCAATGCACAGGGGTTCCAATTTCTACACATCCTCACCAATATTTATTATTGCTTTTTTTTTTATAATAGCCATCAATGAGTAAGGGGGTATCTCATTGTAGTTTTCATTTGCATTTTTCTAATGATTAGTTATGTTGTATATCTTTTCATGTGCTTATTGGCCACTTGAATATCTTCTTCAGAGAAATGTCTATTCAAGTTCAATTGCCCACTATTGAATTGGGTTGATTTTTTTATAGTTGGGTTGTTGAAGTTCTTTATGTATTCTGGATATTAATCCCTTATCAGATATGTGATTTGTAAGTATTTTCTCTCATTTTATGGGTTCCTTTTTACTCTGTTGATAGTGTCCTTTGATGTACAAAAGTTTTAATTTTGGTGAAATCCAAAATGTCTATTTTTTTCTTTTGTTGCCTATGCTTTTGGGGTCATATCCAAGAAATTCAATGTCATGAAGTTTTCCCTCTACATTTCTTTCTAAGAGTTTCATTTGTTTGATCTGTTTTAATTTTTATATATGGTTTTAGATTAAGGATCCAACTTTGTTCAGCACTATTCATTGAAATGACTGTTGAATGACGTTGTGCCTTATGTTTTACTAATGACAACTAAATCAAAACACTTGAAAATGTTGTGCTGCTAGGCCAGCCCCATGGCTTATCGGTTAAGTGCTCGCACTCCGCTGTTGGCGGCCCAGGTTCGGATCCCGGGCACGCAACACACGGCTTCTCTGGCCATGCTGAGGCCGCGTCCCACATACAGCAACTAGAAGGATGTGCAGCTATGACATACAACTATCTACTGGGGCTTTGGGGGAAAAAAGAAAGAAAGAAAATGTTGTGCTGGCTAAACAAAACACCTGTGGACTGGATTCTGGCCCAAAAGCCACTAATTTGCACCATGTGCCTTAATTTCATTTCCACATTAAATTTTCCAAATGAGCTAAGGGGCGCAAGAGATATTTAGTGTTGCCTACCTTGTTCTAAGCATTGTACCAGGTCCTGGTGATAAACTGCTCAAGAAGGTTAATAAGTTAAAGTCCTAGCTTCAGAGAGTTTAAAGCTGAGGGAGACTTGTGAAAACTTTTTATTTTAGTACTATGTGAGTAAACGCTTACAAATTCGGGGACTAAGCAGAGAGTAGGTTAAGTGAAGAGGATTAGACAGAGATTCTTAAATAATGGGGTAACAAAAGAACCAGCTACAAGGCCATCCCGGTGGAGTGGGGGCTCTGCACTGGCCCACGGGCCCACAGCGCTGCTTTCCTGGCCGGAAGGCGGGCCCCTGGTGGAGTGACGTCATATGGCAGCGCGGGAGGAGAGGGCGGGACTTCCGGCTGCGGGTTCCGGGTCGGTGACGCGTACTGTGTGACCTGCCGAGTATCTGCGTGTCAGGGACGGCGCGGACCCCTGGGCCCCACTTCTCCGCAGACCTTCTCCTGCGGCCTTCCGGGGTCCCTGCGGTTGGCAGCGGCGGGAGCCCTCATCTCTGACTCCTGGTAGGGACGTGTTCCTCGTCATCTCCTGGTGTGCGTGCTGCGGGCGGAGGACGCGGGAGACGTTCTAAGGTCCACCTAATGAGCATGTGCGCCAAGAAGGCCCGCGGATGAGTGCAGTGATTCATAAACTCTAAGTGGGACGGTACCTGGAACAGGAACAGAGTTTCCACAAATGGTGTCCTTGTTCGCTTTTTTGAATCTTGGGTTTTCATTTCTATGATATCCTAAAAGTCTTTACCAGTTACAAAGACAGAACTCAAAAGGCTTGTTTCTGAAGGCAACGTTTTTCCTGTTGTGGCTAAGGACTCCCAGTTAAATATTTCGGGTAGTCTAAATTGTTTTTTATTTAAAGGTGTCTGAATATGCTTTAAATGTGAGAAGCACTAACCCAGGGTATTTGTTCGAAAAATACTTGAGTGATTACTGTGAGCTATATACTGTCAAGCACCAGGTTCACTGTTAATGTAAACATAGTCCTTGTCTTGATGGAGTTGACAGTCTGTCTAGTGGGGCAAATAAGTAACCAGGCAATCACAATACAGTGTTACAAGTACTATGACAGAGAGGTGCTGGGTGCTAAAAGAACTAATAGGAGGGGGCCGGCCCTGTGGCTTGGCGGTGGGGTGCGCGGGCTCCGCTGCTGGCGGCCGGGTTCGGATTCCGGCGCGCACCGTCTGTCCGGCCATGCTGAGGCCGCGTCCCAAGTGCAGCAACTAGAAGGATGTGCAGCTATGACATGCAGCTGTCTGCTAGGGCTTTGGGGGAAAAAATAAATAGATAAAATTATAAATTTAAAAAAAACAACTAATAGGAGGAATACTTGATCTAAAGTTTGAGGTGAAGCATAGCTAGAGATGTAGCTGAAAAGGTAAGCAAAGGGTAATTTCAGGAAAAACTTTATAAACCATGTTTGCAAGTTTGGACTTTAACCTAGCAGTAGTGGGCTTAGAAATACACATTGGGGACGATATGAGTGAATTGATGAGATTTGCAGTAGCTCCAAATGGCTTAGAGATGAGGGAGAGCAAATCTGGAGGCTAGGGGATGTAATTAAGAAAATGGGATTAAAGAGAAGTGAATGGATTCAAAAAGTATTTAGAAAGTAAAGTGATTATAGCTCAAATGGATTAGGTATGGTGGGTGTGAGAGAGGACAGTAATGAAATGACTCCCAGTTTCTGGCTTCAACAAATGGATGAATAGCAGTGTCCCTTCCTGAAACAATGTAGAAGGAGAAGCAGATTGTGAAGGGAAGGGAGAGACATATTTCAATGTGTTGCATTTGAGGTGTCTTCTGATACATGGTGATGGAAGCCATGGAGGTAGATTAGATCTCATGGGGAAAATGTTTATATTGAAAAAAGGACTAAAAGATAGAACTCAGAGGCACATCCACCTTTAAGGGAGTGCGGGACATCTGAGCATCAGTGGGCAGGTCAGAGAGGCAGGAGACCCAGGAGCATGCAGTTATTAAATGAAGCCAAGGGAAGAAGGAATTTTTCTTTTCAAGTATTTTAGTTGCATTTTGTAAAAAGTTGAATTCCTTTTTTTGCTTCAAATCCAGCACTGGTTTCACATCTTTAAGCAACTTCATTGTTTTGTGGACATCCAGATCTTTAGGATAAAATTGTGGAGCTTGGGGCCGACCCCGTGGCTTAGCAGTTAAGTGCGTGCGTTCCGCTGCTGGCGGCCCGGGTTCGGATCCCGGGCATGGACCGACACACCGCTTCTCCGGCCATGCTGAGGCCGCGTCCCACATACAGAAACTAGAAGGATGTGCAGCTATGACATACAGCTATCTACTGGGGCTTTGGGGGGAAAAATAAATAAATAAATAAAATAAAATAAAATTGTGGAGCTTATATATATTTGCCCCACTTCTGGACATTTTGTTTGGCATTAACATTATGTACTGCAAAGTAAAGTCTGAACTGGAGAAAGGAGGTTTGTTTTGTTTTGTTTTTAAATCAGTATCTCTCTCTATATTTCTGTTTTGAAAACATATGAAGGCCTTGGTACAGCAGCTCCTAAGTGCTTTTTACTAGTTGCCATCTTTGTAACTTTTCTGCCCTTTGTCTTCATGTGTTGCTTATGTTAAGGATCTTGTGTTTGGGTCTGTATAGAGATGGGCTTAGTATAGAATGGAGAAGAATACAGTATCATGATCTCAGCCACATCTAGTACATAACTTTGTTATCCAGTAACATTGATCTTCTGGGCCCTTAGCTACAAATCTAAAAATTAGGATCTGCAAGATATCCTTTTGCCTAAAGCAATAGTGAAATTCATGTCTAAAATAAGAACCCAAATAAATTTTAAACTTTTTGCCTAGTGAGTGAACAGGAGTCTAAGAAAAAATTAATGGTGCAGCAAATAAAGTTCTATGAAGATTCCACTTTGTGTTTCAGAAATCAGTTGCATTTTGATGTCTCAAATTTATACTTGAACAGGTAGTTGAGAGGTTTTTAAATTCTTTATCTAACTTTTCATTACATTTTCCTTCTTTTATAGGGGTTTTCCTACATGCCTGTTTTCCTCAAAATGAGTGTTAGTATCGCCTTCTTAAGACCTTTTGCCAGATTTTTGGTGCCATTTACCCTTCAAAGGAAGAGAAGGGTTTTATATTCAACAATTCTGCAGAGATACATGTCTTCCAAAATACCTGCTGTGTCCTTTCCTAATAAGGAGAGTACATCACCTCCTGAACAGCTGGAATTGGATGGGTGGAAAGTTACAATGAAATCTAGTGTGCAAGATGTTTCAACAGGCTCAAGTTGCAAGGATGAAGATCCTCTAGCTGCCACCAGGGAGTTAATTGAGATGTGGAGATTGCTTGGCAGAGAAGTACCAGAACATGTCAATGAAGAAGAGCTCAAAACCCTGATGGAATGTGTTTCTAAATCATCAAAAAAAAAATACTTAAAATATTTATATGTTAAGGAAAAAATGAAAAAAGCTAAGCAAATAAAAAAGGAAATGAAAGCAGCAGCAAAGGAAAAAGCCAGAAAAGACCAGCTGCCAGAAACCACTAAGGAAGATAAACAGCAAAACTTTCTATTTCTACGACTTTGGGATAGGAATATGGAAATTGCAATGGGCTGGAAGGGTGCCCAGGCCATGCAGTTTGGACAACCTTTGGTTTTTGACATGGATTATGATGATTATATGAAACCAAAAGAACTGCAGAATACTGTTTCCCAACTTTTAGAAAGTGAAGGATGGAACAGAAGAAATGTTGATCCTTTCCATCTTTATTTCTGCAATCTTAAAATGGATGGTGCTTATCACCGAGAGTTAGTTAAACGTTATGGAGAAAAATGGAACAAATTGCTTTTAACAGCAACAGAAAAGTCTCACGTAGATTTATTTCCAAAGGACAGTATTATATATTTAACTGCAGATTCTCCCAATGTTATGACTACTTTCAAGCATGACAAAATTTATGTAGTGGGATCTTTTGTTGATAAGGATATGCAGTCAGGCACATCCCTAGCCAAGGCAAAACGGCTGAAGCTGGCAACAGAATGCCTTCCATTAGATAAATATTTACAGTGGGACACTGGTACCAAAAATCTCACCTTAGATCAAATGATGCGTATTTTGTTATGTCTGAAAAACACTGGTAGTTGGGAAGAGGCTCTGAAGTTTGTTCCTAGGAGAAAACATACTGGTTTTCTGGAGATTTCTCAGCATTCTCAAGAGATTGTGAACAGATTAAAGAAGTCAAAGACTTTTAATTCATTTCCAAAAGGCTCTCTAAATATACGCACATAGAAAAGGTGACTTGAATGAGAATATTTGATAGCTTTAAAAGTAAATGGATTAGAAATACAGTTCTGTTAGTCTATTTCTTCCTGAATGGAATTCACTTGCTCTTTCTTTTAAAGGTTGTCTTTCTAAACTAACTGAAGTATTGTGTCTTTCCCCAATTAATTAAATATCTGCAAACTTTGAAAATACATTTTGTTTACTATAAAAAGAAACAATAATCTTAGTAAAAAGAGTTATCCAAGCTTGATGAGTCCAGTAAAACAGCTGTACCACTGGTGTGGCTTTTTTATGAATACTTTTGAGTCTCAGATTCCATTTTCCTTCTTGAATGTTCTTTTAGCCATGTCAACAACTATCCTATATCCTTGATATAGAAAAGATTTCTAAATTTCAGGTGGTGGTTCACTTATTAAGTAACATTTGGTACAGAGCTGGGCATGTCATAGGCATTAAGGTATATTGTTTAACTGAATCTCTGTTTAACAAAAAGACATCCTTTGGTATGTTATGGGATTTGGCTATATAATGAAAAATGGGTTTGGGGGGATAAAACTCATTTCTTGTTCTCGTAGAAAAAAAGGGTTTATCTGATGAATGTTACATACAGCACTTCCCTATTGCAGGGTAGATGGCTTTCTTTTCTAGGAAATACTTCCTTTTCTCCAGTCATGTGATTTGAATGGAGCTGCCATATTTTTACCTTGCTCCCCTGGCCACAGCTGATTATCCCAAAGGAGACACCTCACTCAAGCTTAGAGATGGGCATCTGGCTTTAAGATAGGCCAGTCAGAACCCTTTTCCAGGATTTTTGGACTTGAGAACTCTGATAGCCTGTATTAGTTCCTTTCTGGTGGTGGACTTGGACAGATAGGAAGCTCTGGAATTTGTGGTGGCAATGTCCTTTTCCTTGAAGGAAGCCAGGCTATAATAGAGAGTGAAGCTTACATACAGAAATAAGAGCAATCTCTGGAGCTTCCAATTGTCTCTGAGGTCCAGCTATAGATTTGCTTTTAGCATTTATTGGTTGTTCAAACCTCATGGGATACCCTGGTGTCCCTCTAATAAAGTCTTCTTTTGCCTAAGCCAGTTTGAGTTGGGTTTCTTCCACTTGCTACCTAATGAGTCCTAATATACTTGAGAAAATATGTACTTGTTTCCTAAGAAATGAACTTTAGGGAACATTCACTGTAGACCACCTGCACCATTAAAATTTTTGAAAATATGGGAAACAAATGCATGGCCAAGTATTTCTATCCAGTTTCTGAACTGGAAATTAGCACAAGAAATGCTATCCAGTACATTTCTTAAAGGAGGACCTATCTTTTACCAAATACTACTAAGTACCTACCCTGTACCAAACAGTATGCAGTTTACATGAATTATTTAAACAAAATTATAGGAACTATCAATGCCACTTTTTTTTACAGATAAGGAAAATTTACTCAAAATAATTCGGCCTTTAAGTCTTGTCTCAGTTCAAAAGATCTGTCTGACTTTACAGTCCCAGCTTTTAACCAAAAAATGACGCCCTCTGTAAGAAACCCTCAAAGTATACTCGGCCATAAAGGGCAGATCAGGGATTCAAACCCAAACTCTAACTTCTTAAGACCAATTTCTGTAACACTCACTGCATATTATAGGGCACCCAAAAACGCTAGTTCTCTAGGCAAGGAATCGACCCCGTATGGCAAGAGGGCAGTGCAGAGAAAAAGGGAAGAGAAAGCTGAAAAGTTAGGCTGAGACCCAATATAACGCTTGGACATCATTCTGCAGACCCTGGGGATCCACGGAAGGCTTCTAAGTAAGGCAGAAATTACTGCAGTCTTCACTTAACAAAGTAACTTCTCTTAATTTGACACAGAAATTGCGGCCTGCAGAAAAAGTCGTTTTACCGCTTGGGTACGTCACCTTACACGAATTACTCTGACCTCAACTCTCACAGCTAATTAAGAGGGTAATGCATTGGACGATTGTGGCGATTAAACGATAGGGTCTGACACAAGGCGCTCAATAAACGTTGATTTCCCCTAAAGTGGGAAAAAGACCACAGCCCTCCTTTTTTATTCAAGAAGGCACCCGCGATGCAGCAAAAGCAGAATGAAAGAGCCCGCTGGCTCTTAACACGCCCGGGTCTGCAGGAACCGTACAAGATTTCACCAACGTCCAGGGTGACGCTCCCACTTCCTCTCACTTTCTGGATCGGCCACCGGACCACGAAAACTGAACCGACCTCTAGCAGAGCCCCTCCCCAGCTAGCTACAGACACCGCCCAACCTCCCGCCCGGCTTTCAGGCGGCTCGTCGACGACAGCACTTCCGCTTCCGCAAGGGCCGCTTTTCGCGCCGCAGGGCCGCTCTAGGCTGCCGCCTCGCCGGCCGGCTCCGAGCTCCATGGTTGCTGGGCGGGGCCGTGACGTCCTTGGCGCGGCTGCAGGGGAGGCCGCGGCGGGGAAAATGGCGGACGGGAAGGCGGGAGAGGAGAAGCCCGAGAAGCCTCAGCGAGCTGGAGCCGCCGGAGGTGAACACAACCCCAGCGTCGCGGGCTGAGGGGGATGCTCTGGGCCTCTCTTTGAGCTCCCCGGGGTGGGGGAGTGGGGTGGGGCCAGAAGAGGCGGACCTGGCGCTCACCCGGCCAGGTGCTGGGCCCAGACGAGCCCCGGGCACGCCCGGCGCGGCCCGCTGGGACCCGGGCCCACTTCGCCGCCTCGCCGGGGGAGGGCCGGCCACCGTCCGGCACCTCCTGGCCCCAGCGGAGGCCTGCTTCCGAGGGGAGGGGAGAGGGCCACCCGAGAGGGGAGCGAACTCGGGGAGGAGCCGGAGCGGCGGGCCGAGTTTCCTCCGCCGCCGGCCTCTCAGTTTCCCCGGGGAGTTAGCTTGCTGCTCCCTTTCCGCTGAGGAGGCGGACCACCCGCCTTTCTCCTCCCTTTCTCTTCCGGCCGAATACTGACCCTGTGCGGGACGGGTCGAGGCGATGGAGGACAAGAGGAAGGCCTTGCCTGCCCGCTGGTTTCGGCCGCGGGGGCCAGGGTCAGGGTTCGGTTGCCTTTCTTGGAGGTGTCTGCCTTTTCTGAGCTAGGCTGCCGCCAGCTAACAGCGTGCCCGATGTTCGGGTGGCTAAGTAGGCTAGCGTGACTCGTCCTGTGTTTTGTTCGTTGTACACTCAGGTTACGGCTGTCTTTATTCTGTCCCCTCGACCCCTGCAGATTTGGGTCTTGTGCCTTAGGGAGTAGAAACAGGTAATCTCTTCAGCCCCGCTGTGTCGTAACAAGGCGAGTGACTTAACACGTGCGAGCTGAGCCTCCTGTCTTTAGAACGTTTTAAGTATTACTCTCTCTCCTGACTCCCTCCAGTCTTATCCCTGAAAGTATGTAATATGAAGAAATACAGATTAATAGCAGATGAAGGCAACTCTTAGGACCTACTAACGTTATGTTTAATGTGAATTGCCTTGGGAACAAAAATTGAGAAAAGTGTCATGTTCAGTTAGTTTGGACCCAGAATTTCCTTTTTAAAAAACACATACAGTGCTGTTAGTTGAGCCAAAACTCTCTCCCCTCTCTCCACTGCCCCCTTTTTTTACTAGTAAAATAGTTTATGAAACAATAGTTTAAACCGTCTAGTACTACCTCAGGGATTTTTTTCCTCAAAAATTATTGTCTTGGAAATTATCGAGTAACATTACATAAAAAAGTAGTAGTTTGAGGAAGAACAAAAATCTGTAGCTTAAAGAATCTTATCTGGCTTTTTTTAGGCTATCTTTGAACTTTTAGACTGGCTTTTTAACTGTCTTGACTGAGAGTATGGGAAATGTGTTTAATGTGCTTCCAAAATGTAGCTTAAGTGTCAGCATAAGTCTGCTGTATAGTTTATCCACCACCCTTTCAGTTAGTGATAATTAGCTCTGCTGTATGAATATTGATGTTTTTATTTTAGCATGTTTTTTTTTTTTGGTGTAAAATTATCTTTGTTAATTGGTATCAAAAATTATTATGATCTCCTTTTTGGTGACTTAGAGTAAGTAATATCCCTTAATAACTTCTGCATAATTTGCCTTGAGTGTGCCTTCCTTTGCAAGAAAATAGTCTGTTGCATATAAACCATTCTTGAATGTCAGATGTTTTTCACGAAATTGTACAAAGGAATCATAGTTAAAATATTTAATACAGTGGATATTGCTGAATCGATAATTTTATGGCAAATAGGCACTGTTTTGAAATAATAGCAGGTTTGTTTTAGGGCCTTACCTAGAGAATATTCTCATTTTTAATTACTATTGAACAGTTCAGTAAGTTGAAAGTACAGATATTTTTTTTTAACAAGTAGATTACCTCCATAGTTAACATGAATTTTTGTTAGTAAGTGAAGCTACGTACTTGAACTACCTGCTCTCACCCTAAAGAGGAAAGATGATGCTAAGGGTAAGGCTTTGGGTAGATTTTTTTTCCCCTCCCTTTGGCTAGATTTTTGTGGCTTCTTGAAATAATTAGAAATTTTAGAGAAGAGCTATTCATATCATAATCATAACCATCTCAGTTTATTTTAGGTTACCTAAGAACTGCTTTAGTGGAATTCACATTTATCATGCCAGACACTATAAGGGTCTTGAATATATTCTCATTTAAGCTGCACACCAGTCCTGTCAGACAGGTAGCTGTGTGCCCTTTTTTCAGACGAAGAAGCTACCAGAATGCAAATCGGTTGTGAAGGGTACCATTGTAGACTTAAACTTGCTTATTAGGTAATTTTTTTCAAAGTAAGATATCTTTGTGCTCCAAGGCCCACCTCACCTCTCCAACTATTCAGTGAAAAAGAAAAAAAAATGGCAGTACTATGTGTAATTTGATTTCACATTAATTAACACATTTTGTTTTCTCAGAATGAATACGAACTAGATAAAATTCCTTTTATTAAAATATTCCTTGATAAAGAATCTACTAATTTGATATAATTTTATCTATTTTAAGTTCATGTATGATTTTCTTATTTTTAGAAAACTTGCCACATATTTATTCATCCTTTAAAATATGTCACATTGCTAAAAATGTTCACATTCCTAATCTATGGTCATCCAAAATTTTGTTTTCCACAGTCCCAAAGTACAAAACATCTCATTAAATGAATTGAAAATAGCAGTTCTTGAGTAAAAGCCCCAAATACTAAAGAAGGACATGTGTTTAAAGGAAAGCCCTTAATGGACTTAGGAATTAATGTTGATGTTTAATGGTATATTTCAAAGCTCACATTAGGTTGAAATAATTTTCTAATGAACTATA